CTGGGCGATAGGGATGGGAAAATGTAGGTCCGCGTTACATCGAGCGGTGTGCGAGACATCCCCCCCGGACCGAGGCACACGGATGCATGCATACAGAAAGGTGGCCGGAGGTGGGAGATGCTGCCGCGTCCGGAGGGGGGGGGGGGGGGAAAAAAAGGGGGGAGAAAAAAAAAAGCCACCCCAAAACCCCAGCCTGAACCGTGTATCACAACGTTCTCCCTCTCCTTTCTCTTTTAGGGGCTGGTGAGTCAGGAAAAAGCACTATTGTGAAACAAATGCGAATCCTACATGTCAATGGATTTAATTCAGAGTAAGAATTATTGACATTTTGTTGACTTATTTTTCGTTACGTGTTGGAAACAGGTTAACGCACAGTAGGCTAGGAAATTTCTCCTCTCAGCTCCTGTGTTTTGGTGGGTTGACGCTGCGATTTGGGGGAGGGAGGGGAGGAAGGGGAGCGAGAATAAGGAAATTACTGCTATTGTATATTTGCATTTTCTCCTTCTGGCCCTTTTACTGTATTTTACACTGTTGCTACTGCAGTGCTTGACAGGCCCCTGTGTAGAAACAACATGGCGACTACTTTTTACATAGAAGCAAATAACTAAATATTGCATCTGTCTGTAGTATAAAGATACATGTCAAGTCATAGTCAGGGTGACAGTGGCTGCTGTTTTTCCGGTATTGGGGCTAGTGTAAAACTGAAACTAATTTTGCACGTTTGCTAGAAATCATCCTGTTTTCTTGAGGCTACATCATTTTCTCTCTGAAGAACTCTTTGCCAGAAATTATTATTAATCCATAGCATTAATCTGTTGGCCTTCAACTATATCATTAATTTAGAGCATGTTTACAGCATGCTGTAGAAATGAAAGAATGACTTCCAGTTCCATCAGGGGAGGCTTTGCAGATGTGGCTATGATTGTCTGATTTAAAAAAAATACCGGGGATGAGTGTGCGTTGCTCTTCATACTATGCGAGAAAAGGGATAAAGGGAAAAACATATTTGTCTTGCTGTTCTTTTCAGCCAGTATGTTGTAATGGTTGAAGAGCAGATAAACAAGCGATCAGTGAAAAAAAAAATGAAATGCAACTGATTGAACTGCTTTGGAAATAAAAATCAAAGTGTTAATATTTCTGTTTTAATGCAGAGAAAAGAAACAGAAAATACTGGATATTCGGAAAAATGTTAAAGATGCGATTGTGGTAAGAACACGCTTTATACTGTTCTTAAATGCTTGGGTGTACTGGAAATAATAAGGATTGTGCTCTCCAAGATTGTGCTGAGAGAAATCCCATTTTGCTGATCAGATTGGATTATCTTCTATTGATCCTGTATCCTAGATTTATCCAGATTAATGTGTTTGTTTTTGTTTTATCCAATTCTAGACTATAGTTTCAGCTATGAGCACTTTAATACCCCCAGTTCCATTGGCCAACCCAGAAAACCAATTTCGAATGGACTACATCAAGAGTATAGCTCCTCTTTCTGACTTTGACTATACACAGGTAAGAATGGAAACCAGTCATTTATACTGTTTCAAGGGGGAATGCGTTGCTTCGCTTTGATTTACTGAAACATTGTTGTTTTTCTGTTTTGTGGAAGATGGTCATGGGAAGAGCTTATGCCAACATTACCACTGGGTTAACTTTCTTACAAAACTGGGGTTGTTGCACCTGTTTTTGTGGTGTAAGGTTTTGCTGTTACTGATTTGTTTGCTGCTGTTTGTAAATGTTGTTTCTGCATTTAGTTCATAGCTTCAAAATTTCTGATATAATTGTAACATACTGGCACTTCAAATAAGACTTTGCTGAAAGCTGGTTTACTACATGGAAGTACATGCAGGACATCAGTCTGAGGAGTTACAGTCTACCTACAGAAAAGGATATAAGAGGAAATAAAAGGGTAGAGTGGCCCCAGTGGTTTTTCCATACTTACTGCACTTCAGAGTGGAAGCTTGCGTAAACAGTGGTCAAGTAAGGTGGTTTTGCTTCCTCATGTATTTATTGTAGTTGGCATGAGCAGTGGTTTACTTGTATGCAAATGTTGCTATCTTTTGATACGGAACCATTAGAAAATTAAGGATTTCTGTTTACAGGCTACTCTTCTGTAGACAAATGAGAGATACATTTCAGATTAACTCCCACAGGCATCTTAAATTTGATTATTTTTTGTGTTTTTATGTTGTTATTTATAGGAACGTGCATAGAATGTTTTATGTTTTATGCATGACATGAAAGCAAGTGCATAGACCTTCTGAATATTACAAGGAATTTTATTTTTGCAGCAGCACAATTTTAAATTTGCCTTAAAATGACATTGAGAGCAATTTGTTATGGATACAGTAAGGACTAAAAAAAATCTTCATTCATTGGCTAAATGATTGTGAGTTATTCATGCTATCAATATTACCAAAAAAGCCATTTACAATAGAGTGTCTTTAGGTTTCTGTAGCTTCAGGCTGGAAGGGGGAGAAGGGGAAGAGTTGCTTCTTTATTACATGACTCATATTCTCTGGTGTGTGGTTTTGCCTCTGGTAAACCTACCACTTTCAAGGTTCAAGATAGAGAAAAAATATCAGACGTCTTGTACAGTTAGAATTTAACACAAAATGCAGATGTTAAGAAAACGACTTCAAGGTACACCCACATATTGCATAATTGCTCAATTGGTAGGTGTAAGTTAGTGAAAATGAGAAACTCTTTTTAGAAATTGAATGCGAGTTTGACATGAAATATTTGTCTTCTGCACATATTACAGTTCTGAGGCATTTGTTGCTTATTTTATTATCTTTTTCTTTGCTTGAATTTGGTTGGGTAAAATAAATGGTGGCATTATATCCTTTGCAATTCTCTATAGTACATCTGTTTTTCTGAGCTTCTGGGGTAAAAGAGAACTAAAGTGGACTTTTCGTAGGCATGGAGCTATATATTTGTTTGTTTGTTTACAAAATTTCTCCTTTTTCACAGAAGCTGGCTATATCTGGTCAAATTTGAGTCACTGTTTGATATTTTACAAAGGGGAAGAACTTACTCTTCTTGGAGGGGAAAAAGAATAGGGCCCAGTGGACACTGAAACAAGTAATAATTCATTTGAAATCATGATTCAAAGTCCATTTTGGTTTAAAATAAAAAAATAACAACTCTGGTTTTTAATTAAGTAGGATTTCTGCTAATACCATCACGTTATTTGAAATAGTGTCAAATAATACTCCTAAATAAAAAAAAAAGTTGTTACAAGCTTAAAAAAAGAAGAAAAATCTAGTGCAGGTTTAGAAGTAAATATATTTTACGTGTCACTTTCATCTAGTCCCTCCTGTTTTCTTCTCTGCTCAATTGATAGGTTTAATATTTTTTAAATGTATCATCTGGCTAGATAGTAGGTTTTTTTTGGTTTTGTTTTGTTTAGGTTTGGGGTTTTTTTTAGTATGTTGTTTCTCTCCAGGATGATGTGTGAGCAAAAGAGATTGAAAAAAAAAAAAGTGCTACTGTGCTTCAGGGCTTGATTCTACTCCAGTTTAAGTCAATGATAAAGTAAAATTAAGTTTCCAGCTGAAATAACTTTTGATCCATTTAGTATTTTTGGATAAGGACAAATATAAAAATAAATACTTGCATACTAATCAGTTACGCATCCTTTACTAAGCATTACTGATTCTCTAATTAGTAGCTGATGTATGGAATAAGGCTGCCTGAGCCAGAGAAACTGATATAGTATTTAGTAGTGGACATTCAGGACTTGCGGTTCTATCATCTGTGCTTAAAAACAGTTGCCAAGGAAAAAATGCTGACTTAGGCAGTGCTTAGGTGTTGTCTCTGGGGTAAATTTTCCCACATTCTAAAATGTGACAAAGATTACCCCTCTTCCTTTGAATGAGGGAAGGGGCAATTTTAGCATTTTTTTACGATATGGATGGTAATGAGCTGTTAAAGACATCGCTCTTGGTGTTGCAGTGTGAATTACAGATGTGTTATTTTTTGGATGATGTTAGCCATGTAATCTTTGTCATAAAAATTGATGTATTTTGGTTGAAGATGTATTTCAAATGCATTGCATGCAAAATGTGGGAAGATGACTGCACTGTATCTTGAGTCTTTAAAGAGAGGTCTCTGATGAAATGCAAAAAATTCCCTGACGGCACAATATGGTCAACGCTCATGAGGCACTAATTTAAATATTTTTGTGACATATTGGGTATGCTTGGATATGCATTCTTAAATTGCATACAAATTAACTAATATGCATTAAATTGTTAAAATTGTCCTTTAAAATGGGTGGATTTGAAAATATCGATTTCCTGTGGGTGAAATCATATTCTAAATGCAATTTATGACTGAAATCCCAAGAACTTGAGTAAGGATGGGATTCACATTTAGACTCAGATATGTATTTGGCTTTTTTGTTTGGCTGCTTTTTTAATTACATAGTTCTCTACAAAATATAAGCAGAACATCTTACTTAGCAGTGATACAAATTTTAAAAGAAATGGTTTTCTCTTTACATCCTTTCAACATTCCTTCTGTGGAATGCCCACCCAGTAGTTTTACTTAATTTTTTAAAAATTATTCTTTAGTTTGGTTTAGTTATGCTACCTTGATGATTTATCTAGTTGACAGAAAACAAAATCAAAAGCTTCTTGATTTCCTTCATAATTTTTATGTTGCCTTTCATTACTTTTCTTAAAAGACTGTACAATTTTTACAGAAAATTTCCTGGGTGACTGATGCAGTCTGACTCTAGAAATCGTAAGATTTAAGGCGAGAGTTTTTACAAAGCTAACAAATGTGAATAAGGCAAGTGTCCACTATAGTTTCTTCCTTGAAGTCGTGAAAGGAATCAAGATAAAGTTTCATCTGATGACTAGTTTAGGCATTATCTTGGCTCCATATTCCAGGGAGGAATCAGCAGAAGGGCTTTAAAACTGAAATGGAAGCACTCACGCTATATCGGAAAGGATTTTTTTATTATTTTTGGCAAAGTGTTGATTGGTATTTGCTAAAGTTAACAGGAATTGACCTGCGCCATTTTTAATCCTTTATTGATGGGGATTTATTTTGTCCTTTGTGAATCAGAGTGAACATATTAAGGGCATATTATGCTGGTAGCTGTGGAAAAACATGGTGTATTATGTAAGCATGTGTTTACTCAAGTTCAGTTGTCTTTAATAAAGTATTTGGATTTTGTGGGCACTACAAAGCTGTTTGGTGCATAATTCCTTTACCATTACTTTAAAACGTAGTCAAATTAAGTTGCTTTTTATAACATATGTCTTGGATCAAGCTCATCTGATGAGTTATGTTTTGGTGTACAGCAGGTAATCAATTAGCTACCACCAAGATACATAATTGAGCATTTGGCTATATGAACAACTTACCAGTGAATCATTTGCTTAATAGAGAACATGTAAACACTGCACCCAGGTTTTGGGGAGCGGGGAAAGTTTCCAAAAGATTCGTTTTCCTTTGCTAACAATGTTTTAGAGAGGCAAAGTGTTTTGTTGAACCTTCATAAAAGAATGAATTGTGCAAATGTAGTCCCTTGTGCTGATTTTAGAATGTAAGTTTTAAAAATAATTTTTAAAGCTCTTTTATCAATCAGGCAAGCTCTTCAATTTTGCTCTTAAAAGTGAAAAGTTAATGTCAACATTGACAGGGAAACTGCTTTAGATTAATCTGGTCTGTGGTTTGCTCCACGTTTTCAGATATTGCAGTTTGAGTTCAGTTTGATGACTAATTTTCCTCCACATTTTCTTCTTAAAAATCAGGACTTGGTATTCACAATATAAAGACACAAGAAAGAAAGAAAAATATTTTTGGTTGGAATTTGAAGTTATGTAGATTTTCATTAGGCATTTGAAATTTTTATTGGACTTGGTATCCACATTCGAACTCATGTTGATGTGTGGTGATGGCTGGTTTTCACAGTGTGTGTCTCAATGTTTGAAGTAACGGGAAATCCTGCTCAAGGGAAGTGTATCGCTGGGCTGTAGAAAATTTTTATCCTGAATAAATACTTAAATAAAAGATTTAAACCATGATAAATGTTTCATACATGGTTAAACTTGCTTGGGTTGTGCAGTTAATGCTGTGACTTCAGTATCCTGTTTGACCACGTGTTTAAGTTTTTCTGTCATATGTACTTGATGTAGCCTTAAAGGAGTTAGAAAATAGCATCATCTTAGATTTTTTGATTTTTCAAATAACTTGCAGTATTTCAGTGTTTCTCAGGAGTGTGAAAATATACTGTGTTTTACACAAAAATGTCGTAAAAGAAAAGAGAGAATGTGATGAATATTGCCACTCCACTGGCTTCACTTGATTTTTTCTTTCTATCCAGATTTTTAGTTTAGGGCTTCATTTACCTTTTTCGGTAGAATGAACAGCCACAAACTTTTATAATTACCTGTGATGGTGGCATTTGATGTTACTACAGTGTCAAATCAAAATTAACATTTAAAAATCATTAGACTTCTAAAAATTAAGTAATTTGCCTTTTTGTGATCTAAGTT